ACTACCACGACCCTGACACCCATTCTGGGCAATGTTACCATCTACAACGGAGGGACTTGCAACACTTTCACTCTGCAAGGCGTGTACCCTGTGACTTTAGAGGCTTGCAAGCTTGCCAGCGCCACCACCTCTCAGAAGTTCATTTGCAGTTCAGGATCGATTCTATACCGGACGTACAACACCCCTGATTGCGCTGGCGAGGGCATCATGAGCGGCCCCTATGAACCTTGAAAAAGCCAATAGGAAAACTTCACGTTTTGTGGCTTCCTGATGTGGTCCTTATGAAAAATGTTCATGTGTAGCGTTCCCTTTGATTCCCAGGTGGTTGGAGTATAACAAATTAAAGTATACTGCTAGTCTATACTATACTGTACTGTACTATACTATGCTGTTACACTATACTATACTGGACACCCCAGGAACAGGGCCAATGCGCTCCCCAAGGCGACGGGACCTCATCCTGGGTCTTCAGCTTCAGTGACTGCGTCGGTACAGCGAATGCTGTGGCAACCGCGGGGGCAGAAGGCCTGGGCAAGTTATCCCAATGGACCCTTCAAAGGTTTATGTCCACATGCCATATTGGCATTTGATAGGATATGCTGTATGGCCCTTAAGGATGGCGATATGATGTATGGCCCGTATGGCCCTTAAGGATGGCGAGCTCAAACGAGGTCACCTTCATTTCTAGGTATTGATGTTGGGAACATGCCAACTTAGGCCCTATTCCAGGATTTGCAATTATCCCAATCTGCTCTGGAAGGCTCACGCTGCAACAGCTTCATGATCTTCGGCTTGTTGGCTCTCTCCTCTTCCTGGAGCAGGGCAAAATGACCAAACAAAAACTTGAAGGGTCCAAATGCCAAAACATTAAGATAGTCGTGTAGAATATACCTACCATGATTTTTCGGAGACTTTCTGCCATAGCATTTAGGAGTTTCCAAGAGTCAGTGGCCCAAAAATCCCTGATACAAGGACCCCAGAATACGAACCCCCCCCAATGTTCAGAAGCTCCCATTTGGGGACTTGGACCCTCTGGGAAAGCAAGCCTCTGGGCTTCAGAACCTCCTTTCGATACTTTTGAAGGCGACCGTTTCAGCACGGCCGGCAGTGGTGCAATGGGAACCCGGAGTTCTTTTGCAGCCTCCCCAAAGGCTCCGTGTAGTTTTGTAGTACATACCTGGGCCTTACAGGAGTTTTCATATCATAACTTTGATGGTCTATGTGACAAAAAGCTATACATCGAGCCTTTGAGCTCCTGCATGGCACAAGATCCATGGCAGGTCATCAAGCTCGCATGGGCTGTCAACCCCAACCCAGTTCCAGAAGATGTCGCGTCCCGTCGTGTTTTCACCCTGAGCGTCCAAGTGCCCAAGTATGAAGTACACACCCCAACCCATATAGTTTGTGTAACTAGTACAGATATCAGAGATGTGCCATGTTTGGGTCACTTTGCACCCTTAGGGTCAGGGTTTCGATGGCTCTGCTCCTCACATGAGGGTCTCCATAAATAGGGGGCCTCAAAATCGACCCCAATAGACTATGATCCTTGTTCTAGGGGCTCCCAAGCAGGTGCCCTTAATTTTGGAGGGTCATACCAGTGATGGACAGAGGATTCCCTAGGGATCATATAACGACCCTTGTGAACGATTTATACATGGCAGATCCTGCATTCTCTTTGGCTTTGCAATAAGGTTTGGCAGTAAGTCAGAAAGGGGACCTGCAGAGGGATGGACAAGGAACCTCCTACCAAGACAGAATATGTGGAAAATAAGCATAAAACCTTTACCCTCAGGTTATTCAAAGGGGAAAAGGAGGGACCCTTAATGGGGACCCCTACCCTATAATGGGCTATAGGGTATATAACAGCTATATTAAGGGTATATAATACCTAGGGGTCCTTATTAAGGGTCCCTCCTTTTACCCTTGGAGTTATTCACTCTAAACCCTAAACCCTATACCCCCATAGATCCCTTTAGAGGGGCCCCTTCTAATTAACATAAACCCTGTACCCTCAGGTTATCGTCGTTTCAACGCACCACCGCCTTTTTGGAGGTGTTCGCCTCGCATCTGGGCCGGAGCGGCCTGGTCGCTGCCTTTCGCAGCAGGCCATGGCCGAGGAAAGGGAAGTTTTGGGGGCGTTTTGAAGCCTGGGTTTTTACTAATTTAAAGGATTTTTTTAACGGGTTTTCATTTAAGGATTTTGTAATAAATAATGTATGGGCTCCTTATGGTATCTTAAATAGAATCCTTTAACCAGAACCCAGAGGCAGGGGTGCAGAAGCGCCTTAGCGTTTGCGGCTGTTAGGGTAGTTCTTTTAAACATTTTGTGAGGGTGTCGTTTTTGATGCTGTGATTTCGTGCGCGTTCTTTGTTGATTTACTGTTTATGGGCTGCTGCGGCGCCGGATGCGTGACTCAGACCTGGGACTTTCCTGCTTTGGTGAGTAAGACAAGGGGGCTGGCGAGATTCGGGGAGGCTTCCATGAGTGTGTGTGTGTGTGTGTGTGTGTGCGTGTTTTTACGTCCTTGGGTTCCGTTTTGCAGCGAGGATGCAGGGTTCTTGCACTCCTGAAGTTTCGATTGGCAATGCTGCAAGTTTTCAGCTTGGATCATAAAGTTACCACCGCCCCGGCACAGGTGGCCCTGACGCGCGTGTCGGCTGAGGTTCGAAGCCTCCACCCGGCACCTGGGCCATGACATTAGGATTCTTGCTGGGTCTTGGGCTATTTAGAGGAGGTGTTTTGATTCGGAGGCTTTGCAGTTGCCGTGACGTAGGTCGACTACTACCTTCTACTCCTCTACTACCACTACTACTCCTATACTACTACTACTCCTACTACTACTACTACTACTACTGCTGCTGCTACTACTACTATCATTTTGTTTTGAAAGACACCCCAGACCCGAAATCCCACCTTGCTTTCAGGACCTGCAAAAGCTGCCCCATGAGCTGAAGCTCTGGCCATTCGAGCCGGCGACGTTGACGCAAACTTGCGCAGCGAGGGTGTTTACAAACCCTCTTCTAGTTACAAAATTCCTCATCTGTCAATTCAGGGTCGCAGAGGGCCTTAGAGGGTTTGGTGTTTTAGTAGGGTTTCGGTGGTTCCTTATTATAGGTATAGTATATTATCAACCGAAACCCTTTTCTAAGAATTAAGGCCCCGCAGTATCAAGGAACCCGTAAGCTGCTTTAGGCTCAAGGGTTTAGGGTTCAGCTTACATGTACACCACTTATAAGTGCCCATGGCCTCCAAGTGTCCTTGGCCTTCACGGAGTGATTTTACCATCTACGGCCATGTGATTGCACTGGTGCCAGCCCAAACCACGGAAGGCTTTATGCGGTTTTGGAAAGAGTTTTCTGCCTCGGTAAAAAGTAAGACAACTCTCGAGTTCTCGTCTACCAAGGTTATTCTCTCCGCGAACCCCGTGATCAAGTGAGCAGGACGACATCGCTCGACTGTTCAGGTTCATCAGGCGACAAAGGACGGTTAGATGCGCTTTAGGGGCCTGACCATTCATGTAACACTAGACTGCAGAATATAGTATGCCCCCAGATATTACCTGACTCAGAGGCAATCCTTGCCAAGCTGAAAGCCCCCCCGAACCCCTAAACGACCTCAACCCAAAACCCCTGAACCCCCTAGATCCCTTAAGCCCTAAACCCCTAACCCCTTCATTCCCCTTAAACGCCATCAACCCTAAACCCCGAAATCCGAAACCCCTGAACCCTTAAACCCCTAAACCCTAACCCCTTCATTGGCTGCACAGTGCAGAACCGTGCGAGGGGCATGCAAAGGCCGGTCCTGTTCTTGCTTAACCCTAAGCCCTACACCACGCAGGAGCCCAAGTTCGGAATCCCCAGACCCCCGGGAGGATCTAGAAATTAGATCCCCTAAGTTGCCTATACTACGGTTGATGATACAAATCCTGCATTTTCCTTAAGGACCCTAAACTATGGGAGTTATGGTATATTCCTTATTCAGGGTAATGCAGGGTTTGTATCATCAACCGTACTAAGGGTACTTTATAGGAACCCCCATGAAGGGATCTACTTTTTGGATCCTCCCCGGGGGTCTGAATCATGGCAAACCCTACACCCCTAAGAAAAGCCTTTGGAACCCTACGCACAACCCCAAAAATGAACTGTTGAAAAAATCCTAGAGCCCTTCTTCGGGACGCTCGGCTCAGCTCCTGTCCCGCCAGCCACGCACCCGCACCTCCCAGAAAGCACTCGAAACGATGCCCGGCAAGAGGATTTAGAGTTTAGGGTTTAGCAGAGTCAGAGTTGTTGCTAGAGATACAGAAGCCAAGCATGTATCATAATTACATATAACTCGTATATCAGGTATTTTCGAAGGCTTTGTACAGGTTATTACGTGATATGTGTCTTACCGTATGTTCAAGCTTGCGAGGTTGAGTGGGTGTTGGAGGGTGAATACATATAGACGTAGATATTGGTGTAGGTATTGATGTGGGTTCTCATGTCGCGCATTTGTGCCTTAAAACATCTTGTACGCACTCACTACATCCACATACATACACAGACCCACACACATGCAGGCTTGCTTGTTTCCGTACAGTCACCTACATACAAACATGCATGCATACATACATCGCATACGTACATACTTCAAAAATGCAAACATACCTACATGTCGACATAATTACATACACAGTTTTGTTGTTAGGCTGTCCTGTATACATACAACTGATACCATTCGTGATTTGCCATCAGCTTATCTAGTTGTCTGGATACGCAGGTGGCCGTGTGCACCTGCACATGTGCGTTTCTCTGTGTATGTATATGCATGCATATTAGTTTATCTGTATATATATATATATATATATGTATGTATGTATGTATGTATGCATGTATGTATATATATATATATCAAGACATATGTAAATCAACGCATGTGTACATATATGTCTATATATATATATGTGTGTGTGTACACATGTATTTGTAGACATTTAGCTCGTCCCGCTGATTGACTCAGGATGGCTCGTTCCCTCGCTCTGACCGGTGCTGTTCTCCTCTGCAGTGGCCAGGAGCTCAGGTAGAGTTTCTAGGCATTCTCGGTATACCCTAACCCCTAAAACCTAAACCCTAAAACCTAAACCCTAAAGCCTAAACCCTAAACCCTAAAACCCTGTCAGTGTCCTGTCAGTGTCTAGGGTTAGGGCGATGAGAGGTCCACTCGGGCGTCTGATGTGAGGTGCGCTCTTCACGGCCTTCGTGGCCGCGCCCCGTGCAGCACCTGCTCCGACCATGCCTCCGGCCGCCACTGCAGCCTTGAGCAGCATGGCAGCAATGGTTGTCCCAAAGGGTCCAAAGTACCTATATGGGAGAATGTAGGGTTTCTACAATAGGAATTACCATTATGATTTGGGGCAGTACCTCCCATAACAGTACCTAGGACCCTTTGGGTGTAAGGGGCTACCATAAGGGTTACTGTCAGGGGTTACTACGAGTTCAACTACGAATCCAAGAAGCGCTACCATACGGGTTCTGTAATGGGCCCCAAAACACGTAGAAACCACCCCGATCAAGCCTCTAGCTTGCGTGATCCTGCTGCCTTACCGGGCTTCTGAAACCCTAAGCACTTACCCCTCAAACCCAAACCCTTAACCCTCAACCCCAAAACCCCCAAACCCCTAAGCCCCCAAAACCCCAAACCCAAAGTGTGACGATGCCTCAAAAGATCCTAGTGCTAACCCATCCCTAGGGCTCCAGTTACCGAAATAGCAGGTTACTAACCGTATATTGCATACCCCAATCTACTAGTTAGGTCGGAGGTTCATGGGTAGTTAAAAGTGGGGTTATAAGTAGGTGGTTATAACCCATATCAGGGGACTTATAACCCTATACTTATAACTGCCCATGAACCTCCAAGTAGGCCTAGGCCCTATAGGCCCTAAACCCTATACCCTTATAGAATCCCTATAGATCCCTTTAAAGGAACCTTTACAGGGACCTTTAAAACTGTCCCCATGAACCTCCAACTGGGTGGTTGTCAATATTAGGGTCAACCCTAAACCCAATCAGGGACCATAATTTTGACAACTACCCAAGTAGGGCATGGCAGCGCGAGGTGCTGTGACCCTGGTGGCTCCACAGGCGGCTCATGCCGAGGCTAACCTGGTAGGGGTTTAGGGCTTAGGGCGGATTTTCGAGGTTTCACAGGATGTATACGGCGTCGAGTTTAGGGGTTTAGGGTTGGCGTTTAGGGTTTAAGGTTTACGGTAGGTTACCATGAGGGTTTTAGAGGTTGTTATCAGGGTTATTCCGCAGCGTCTTCGAGTGGTTACCGTGAGGGTTACTAGAAGGGTAACTTAAGGAAACGGGATCCTACCTCGCCACGTAGCTTTTCCGCAAAGCAAGAAATGCAAGAATCTTGTTTAGATGATGTGGTGAGCTACTACTACTACTACTACTACCACTACTACTACTACTACTACTACTACTACCACTACTACCACTACTACTACTTCTACTACTACCACCACCACTACTACTCCTACTCCTACTACTACTACTACTACTACTACTACTACTACTACTACTACTACTACTACTACTACTACTTCTACTACTGCTAACACTGCTGCTACTACTAACACTACTACTAACTACTACCACCACTACTGAGGGTCAATGGTCATACTACTTTTGCTCAAGCAGCTCAGCATTTGGGGCTTCAGGGCTGGAGAGGTTCAGGGTTTGGCGCTTTAAGAAGGATTTAGGGAGCTTGGGGATTTCGGGTTTGTTGATTTAGTGGTTTAGGGCTACGGGTTCGGGGGTTCATTGTTTCCCTCATTCAAAGTGTTTGTGCGTTCTTGTACGTGAGACCTGTAGGCTGTAGAATAAAACTCCAAACGCGGTAATGCTACTATTCACCAATTCCTTCTCATATTGCATTCATCTTTTACTGTACTGTACCCCAAGCCCTTTGTAAACCTTCTTGACATGCTCATAGACTGTCATAGACCTCGATTCTACTTTCAAAGACCCTGTCTTAGAGGTATCTGACGTTGTAGGCCCTTGATTCATCACGCCTCGCCAGCCATTCTAAATCCCGAACCCTACACCCTAAACCCCGGAGGCTACTCCGACAACACCTGCCCGCTGGGGCTTTCCGGATCTGCAGACGGTAAAACGGCTTGACAAAGACACCTGAACCCCTAAACGCTGCATTATAGGGGTTTAGTTTCGTTTTTAAGGTTCAGGTATATTCAGAAGGTTCTCCATACACAGGATTCCAGAAAACACGTCTAGCTGTGGCATTCCTTTTCTGTTCGAATCTTCCTGGGCCCGTCCGCCCAACCCTGGTCCCTGCACCTTGCCCTTGACCCTTCAAATCCTAGCCCTTTCAACCTTATCGGAACCCTTAAAGGAACCTTAAATCCCCAAATCCCTTTTGAAAGGATGGCGCAGTGTGGATTCCTGCGCTCTCCGCCATCGGCGCTGGCTTCGCTATCGGCCTCGCGGCTATCGGCTCGGGTGTGGGCCAGGCCTGTCCTCCAGCATCCCCTTTAGGGTTTAGGAGTGTGTTTACGGGCTCCTTTCAGGGATCCTTTCAAGGGGTGAGGTTTAGCGGCTTAGGTCTTCGGGGGTTGAGGGGTTTAGGCGTTCGGGCGTTGGGGGTTTAGGGGTTTAGGGTTTAAGGGTTTGGGCATTGAGGGGTTTAGGGGTTTAGGGTTTAGGGTACAGATTCCTCTCAGGATTCCATAATAAGGATTCTTTAGGGTTCCTAGGGTATTATTACTCCAGAGCTTTATTCCAATTATCAAGGCCCTGATGTTATTGGCTTTAGGGACAGGTCAGCTTTAGGGTCTGTTTGAAGGCCCGTTGGCAGTGAAAAGTGGTGTTGTTTCTATGCTAAGTAGATCTCTTCAAGCACATCAGCTACCTGTGTGCAAAGCCTACACTTGTTCTTATGAGCGCTATGATGATGACTGTTACTATTAAATAATATCGTTCTTATGATGATAACAACAATTGTTGTTACAAGGTTTGGTACAGGCTACTCTGAGGATGTTTTGAGGATTGGTTTCTATCTGGGTTGAAAGAGTTTTGGGGCGTTACTAAGCGACCAGCAGGGTTTCTCCGACATGACTACATCCAGTGCCCGAATTCACTGCTGAAACCGCCAGACCCTAGACACTTGCATAAATCCTAAACGCAGAAACCCCAATCCAAATCCCTTCAGAAGCTTCAAAACCTGACACGACATCTAAGCCCTAAGCCCTCACGACAACCTGTATCATACCCCTTTACAGAACCCCTTATAGAAACCCTAATTCCCTTACTTCAGCATGCTTAAGCTTTACACCCCTGACGGGCACGCATTTCGCGGCGCTTAAGCCCCGAAGCAGTAGGACTTTTTCGACTTTCAGCATCCTTGGCACCTCTCAGAGCAATCAGGTTCGGAGATTATTTGTATTCGGTATAAGAGCCTGAATTTTCATTTACCACTACTATTATTCCTGAGGCTTCCTTCGTCTACTTCTAGTATCACATACCCTTATTTTACTAGGCCTCTCCATTCGGGGGGGGGGGTTAGATCTGAATCTCACAGGTTCCCGGGTGCCCCTTCCTGTAGGATTGGCTAAACTCTAGACCCTGAACTCTCCGGTGCAGCGAACTTGATGCTGTTTGGGATTTCGGTGAAGCTGATTCTTGATGCGCAGTAGTCTTCGATACTACGGTTGATGATATAAATCCTGCATGTCCCATAATAAGGAATATACCATAATTCCCATATATTCCTCATTATGGGTAATGCAGGATTTATATCATCAGCCGTAGCAGCGATCCGGTAGTACATCGTGACAATAAACACAGCAGCCTCGAGGTTCGGAAGGTTCTTAAGGGTTTAGGGAACAGGCTTTGGGGTTGGGGTCTTCCAGCTCCATGTTTCTGGAAGTAAGAAGCCTACCTCGATCCCAAAAGTATGGAGAACAACGGCCTTTTGTATGTGTTGGTCTGGAGACTCTACACACAAGTAAGGTCGGGTAGGGTTCCTGCAAGCCTCGTGCTGAGGATGTAGGGGTTGCCGGCTCAAGAGGATTATGTTGTAGGGTTCAGGGTGTGAGGTCTGGCGGTTGGGTATTTATGGTTATCGCAAAACTCTAAGTTCTAAACATCACACTCTCAACCCCTGGACCCAGGGCATTGCCAGTGGCCGATGCATTGATGGCATCTCTCGCCAGCCGGAGGCCAGTTCAGATCTGCGACTCTAGCAGAATCCAAAATCTGCTGAACTGTGTTCCAGGCTCTACCAAGCAGCAACAACTGTGCAATGGCAACAAAAGAATGTAGTTCTAGGAGTAAGGCTAGGAGCAGGAGGAGTAGCAGTAGGTGTAAGAGTAGGAGTAGGCGAAGTAGCAGCAGGACCCTAAACCCTAAACCGTGGGTCGTGTCGGGTCGGGGTCCGAGTCAGTGGCGTCGTCGAAGTTGTAGTTGCAGGGTTTAGGGTCTAGGGTTTGAGTCGACATCGTACTGTACTTACCTTTGGCTAGTAGGGAACGGAGGAATGGGGTACTACTACTACTACTACTACTACTACCATTCTTCCATTTCCTACTAAGCAAAGGTAAGTGTAGTCCTCGTCGTACCCTGTTATATAGCAGCTTGCAGGCTCAGTTACAGGTGCTAGCAAGTAAAAGACGGGAAGAGACAGTAAGTAGAGCCGACTATGTCGTGTGTAGCACGTACGTAGTAAGAAGAATTACTATGCGCAGTAGCGGCAGACGCAACCGTAATAGGTTGCTTGCTTGCCACAGACTCTTGATCCAACACCAGGTCGCGGATGATCTCAGGGGTGTGCTGATGCGTGGCAGAAATTATGCGGTTTCCGTAATCCCTTTCCTTTCTGTAGATGTAATTAGATGTTATGCAAGCTTTGTGTCAACAGCTGCGGGCATTGTCGGTTTGTGCACATTACATGCAGTGAGCCTCGAAAATAAAAAAGATTCTGATCCGGTGACCCCAACAAAGCCCCGAACCTTTAGCCGAGAACAGAAGCAGCAAAGCAAAGAACCATTGAACGACCAGCGAAACAAAGGGCCCCGTCCCCGTCTTTCATGGATTCCTTTGTGCAAAAGGTCTTGTATTATATAATTACATAATTAATAAGCATGAAGATCGAGAAGTAAAGGCTCCTTTCCCTGGCTTTCATGGAGTCCTTGACCATCTACGGTCTGGTGATTGCGCTGGTGCCAGCCCTAGCTTCAACGCCAGCTTTTGGTAGGGGGTTGGCGGCACAGGCTGTGGAGGAAAGCTTGAAACGGAAGTTCAGGTTCAGGGTTTTGGGCGTGGGCTTTACGGCTTGGGATTCAGGGATGATGTGCTGGGTGGTGCTGTAGTAGTCATGGGAGGGTCATGGGGTAGTTATGAGTGGGCTTATATCTGTAACAATGACCCATATTCGGGGACTAAAAACCCCACTTATGACTATCCATGAACCTTCAAGTAGGCCCTAAGCCCTATAATTACCCTTATAGAAGCCCTAAAGATCCTTTAAAGGGACCCTAAAATGGGACTTGTCGGAAAAGCCTCCCACGTTCCCATGATAGTCCTGCTTGTCCGGAACTCTTCCGTGAACCGCGAAACCCGAGGTCTGGGATGGTTGAGAGAGTGCTTGGAGGGTCGCGGGACTTAGTAACTGGTTGTTTTAGGGACTTATAAGTACCATAGCCCCAATTAGGGTCCCTTTCAGGGTACATATAAGTCTACTTACTACCTACTTACTAAGTCCCCCGACCCTCCAGGTGGCTCTAGCTTTGGGGCCTTCATAATTACTATAGTCTCCTTAGAAATTAGTTTTGTATTTCCGTTCATATAAATCCCAAGAGAGTATAAAGAACATTATTTTCATTATGGTTCTAATGTGTAGATTAGAATAAGGTCTTGAGTGTATCCTACGAGTGATAATAAGGACCCCCGAGATAGTATTGGTGATGATTTCGGCCCCTGTATTGGGATGTTTTGCTTTCCCGACCAGGTGCTCCTCTTCGCGAACCCGCTGATCAAGTGATCGAAGTGGTAACGGCGGTCTGGAGAAAGTTTTCCAACAGGTGGATCACTGAATAGTGCTACTTACTGGCACTGCTGTCAGTCGTTGCTTGAGTCTGCAGGCAGTGGCTGGCAGTCCGAGTTCTGTCTCAATCCCAGTTCCGAGAATGTTGCGCTGAAGAAACAGCTACAAGTAGCAATCTCTGTGCAAGGAACAAGAGCGCAAGCTCAGAAAAGTCAGTGTTCGAGATGTTCGTGCTGTGGGTATCGGTTTAGAGATTTGGGTCTAGTATGGTTTATTGTTTGTGTGGCGTCTTTGTAATGTCTGGGGTTTCGGATTTGTCTTTAAGGTTTATTGTTTAATTTAGTCAGCTGGAACCCGTTTTTACGTTGAGTCCACGGTCTAGGCTGGAGGTTTCCGGCTTCAGGGCAGTTATTGTAACATCCCCCAAAACCTTGTTCTAAATATGAAGGCCCCTGTAATGAGGTTAAGGGTGATGCACTAAAGCGACAAGTAGAGAGCCTACGCGCTCGGTGTTCCTATCAGGCGGGTCTTGGATGAGCCTGGAATGGAAAACCGTGTTGCCACATCTTTCCCCATCGCACGCTGTACCGTTTGGTCTTGCGGTTTACCCTGAGGCTCCACGTAACCCAAAGGAGGTATTGTTTTTTTAACGAGCTTGAAACGCCAAGGCAGGTAATATAGGGGCTTAAATATTTAGCAATACTGTTTTGGGGCTTCCTTATTGTAATCATAGTATCATGGCCCCAAAACCCTATTCTTATCATCAAGGCCCCTGTTACCCTAAGCCCTAAACCCTAAACCCTAAGGCCTAAGCCCTAAAGCCTAAACCGTACTGTTAGTATACTTGCCGACTCTCGGTTCCGGTTTGCCGGGTCTGTCTGGATGTGTGATACGGGTGATGTTGCGTGTATGACTTTCGCTATGTAAGTGGTTGTCAAAATTAGGGTCCCTTTTTGGTCCCTAATATAATACGGCACCTAATATTTAGGGTACTCAGAAAGGGGCCATAATTTTGACAACTGAATGCCCACCAGTTTTCAACTCAAGTATCGCTGTTTCTGCCCTATTAACACCCGTAACTCTTCCAACAAAAACAAACCCCAAACCTGTGACCCCAACATCCAAACCTCAAAACCCGTAAAATCCAAATCTTGAAAAACCAAACCTCTGAACATAAAATCCCAAACTCAAAACCCCAAACCCGTCACCCTAAAATCCAAAGCTCAAAACCCCAAGCCCGTGACCCTGAAATCCAAAGCTCACAACCCTAAACTCCAGAATAGCATGTTACCATGAGATCCTTAAGCCCCCCTCTTGCCACCCCCCCTCCCTACCCCCTGAAAAACCACATGTTATGTACATCGCCGCGCTTTGGTCCAGCATCAGTTTTTTCCACGACAAGTTGCTCACAACGCCCGAAGCTCTCACGACCTTGGGCAGGAAATTAAGGGTCACCTGCACCCCTAGAAGTGGCTTTTTGTTGGTGTTGGGCTACTACTTTACCTGCCTCTGGGGGTGTTTTGGCAGGTAGCGAGTGCTGGATATGCGTTTCAGGGCTGCGGCATTGAGACTTCAGCGGGGTCTCGGTCGAGGTACGTTTTTGGAGCCTCTCCAATAGGGACACGAGCTTTGGTAGGGTTCTTCTAAGCCCGATCTCAGGTTCAAGAGAATAGGCTTCCGGTAGGTGAAGATAATGTTTAAACATGTTTTTCAAAGCAACTCAGAGCCAAAGCCGGATGAGTTGCATAGTCAGTCGCAACTTGGGATGTCTGCCTGAAGCTGTAAGCATCGCGCCTCAAAGCCTAAACCCCCTTAAGAGTGCAAAGAGGATCAGTGAGCCTTGAGGCTTAGCCCAAGACCCCTAAACCCTTAATCTAAAGCCTAAACCCCTAAACCCTAAAGCCCCAAAGAAAGAAGCGGGACAGAACCTGAAACCCTGAAGCCTTACAGATGGTGTCAGGACCATGAACCTCAACATTCAACACTGAAAACAGAGCCAGGAATGCAGCATCTACCGAAAAGTCTTCAGTGTAGTTCGGAATTCTAAAAAGTCTACCCAAGACGGAATTTCAATGCAGACTATAGGTAAATCCAAGGGACCAAGGCCTGAAGCTTTGCATCCCACATATTCTAGCCTTGAAGGAAGGTGGCCCCCGAACCGCAAACACAACCGTGCCTAAACCACTACGTAGCCCCAAAGCCTGAACATCTTGAGGGCAACAACAGCAGCAACAGGAAGTCCCAGGACAAGCCTCAACCCTTTGCGAAACTTACAGGAACCCCGACAAAATCACCAACAATTCCCTGGCCCTTTTAAAGCTTAATGAATCCTAAAACCCTACACCCTAGACCCCGAACCCTGAAACCCTGTTTTCCGAGGATGGCCCGCTTCCTCGCTCTGACCGGTGCTGTGCTGCTCTGCAGCGGTCGGAGACTCGGGTCCCAGGCATCCTAAAACTTGGTTGGATTTTGGGACATTTTTTATTTTCCTTATTTGGGGATATTTGGGACCCTATATATAAATATTTGTTCAGGGTGTTTAAAGGCCAACCCAGAAAAGTTATAAAGGGATCTATACTGGTTCCTTTATAAGGGTTGTTGTAAGGGTTACTATAAGGGATCCTTCAACTTTAAATCAGGGGTTTAGGGTTTAAGGGTTTATGGGTTTAGGGTTTAAGGGTTTAGGGTTTGGGGGTTTAGGGTTTAGGGTTTAGGGGGTTCAGGGTTTACGGGTTTAGAGGGTTTGGGGTTATGAAGGGATCTATACTTGTTTATTTAAGGGTTGTTGTAAGGGTTACTGTAAGGGTTCCTTTAGGTTTAAGGTATAAAGAGATCTATACTGATTGCTTTAAGGGTTGTTACCATAAGTAAGTTCAAGTTGGGGTTACAATAAGGGTTCCGTTGATGGTTAGGCTTGAGGGGTTTTGGTGGTTGTAGCGTTCGAGCTTTGGTGGTTTGGGAGTGTAGGGTTCGGGTTTTGGGGGTTTGGGGTTTAAGGTGAAGGGTTTGAGTTTGTGGGCTGTCTTGGAGTTCTACAAGGCTCCGTGTAAGGGTTGGCTTCCAAGACAGGCTTTAAGGCGTTGCTGCTATCGGGGTGTCGGGCTTGTGGGTTCTGAAGATGAGAAGAGGAGCAAAACTAGTATAGGGGCCTGCATAAGTACCAATACTACGATGAAGCTCCTGACTAAAGCTATAGCAGGGTAGAGCCCAATTCTAGTTTATTAAGGCCCCATAACAACGCCACCAACAATAGCGACCGGAGCTACGGGTTGAGAGAAAACGGAAGCAACAACGGACAGCAGCAACGGCTGCTGCAGCGAGCACAAGTCTATCACTAGTGAATTGTCGTAGTTGTCGTGGCAGCAGTAGTCGTAGTAGTCATCGCAGTGCGTAGTCGTAGTAGGAGGAGTAGGAGTAAGAGTAGTAAGAGTAGGAATAGGAGTAGGGTGTGCCAGGAGCAGCCTCAACACCCGAGAGGGAGTTTGGGTAGTCCTCGTAGTAGATCATTTTCGCCTTTGTCCTTGCAGTCGTCGTCATCGCATTGCCCGGTTCGTGCAATTCCGCACAGACTGGGATGTCTAGCTTCAAGTGTCTTTCGCCTTTCTTCTTGTGGGCGCTATCTTTCCGGGACAGTCCCAGAACCCTATACCCTAGCCCTCAGACGTCTCCTCAAATCGAAGCTTCAGAGCAAGCGCTTCGCGAGTTCTGCGACCTTGCCTCGCAATACCGGTTTCTTGAAATTTAAGGTTTAGGTTTTAGGGTTTAGAGTTTAAGGTACATCAACAGTAACCGGCCTTGTCCTTTTTCATGGTTCCCCCAAAAGAATAAACAGACCGGCTAGTAGACCTTCTTGAATAATTCCTACCAAGGGATATAGGTATAGGGCTCTGTCTATTATTTCTAAAAGGACAAGGGTGACAGTAACAGGGTTATGATCAAAGTGAATCTAGCTACAGGTATGTGCTATGCTCGAACCTTTGAGAACCCTACTTCGGGTACTGATTTAAAACAGCTCTTAGCATCAGAAGCTTAAGCTTCAAGTAATTGGGGTGAGCATCCTAGGTAGTATTAGGGAGACCCCTTAAAAGGAGACCCTTCTGAACCCCACCCATGGCCCTCTTAAAAGGTGAGCTTACTTGGAGGGTCGGGGGACCCTAATTGGGGTTATGGTACTTATAAGTCCCTAAAATAACCAGTTACTAAAAGTCCCCCGACAGTCCAAGTATGAACCCAAAGCTAAAACTACGCAGGCGCTCTATTCACGGCATTTGTGGCTGCACCCCGTGCCGCCCCAGCGCCGACCGCTCCGCATGCTGCCACTGCGGCCTTGAGTGCCTTTGCTGCTTATACAACCCAAAGGGTCCAAAGTACGTATGCAGTCGATGCAGGGTTTCCATATCCGGAATTGCTATTATGATTTGGGGAAGTATCCCCAATAACAATACCTAGGACCCTTTGGGTATAGGAAAGTTACAATGAACCCAAGTACCTATTCTTTGCAGACGGCCGGCATTGGCACCTTATTTATGTTGTCAGCTTTCCAGTTGAGATTGAGGACAATTACACCGCTTTGATTCATTTGGGGCGGTTTCCGAAAATTAGGGGTACCTATTTGGGTCCTTATGAATAAGGATCCTACTATTTAGGGTACTATATTTATTTTCGGAAGCTCCCATTTGCATCCTCCTTTTTCTATTGCTTGCCGCTTCAGCTGTTGCACCGCTGTGAAGCTTCGGGAGTTGCACAGCACCGGGTGGACAAACACTTTGTAGCGCAGTATCGTTGAAGACTCAGCAAGATGTGACCAAGAGCAAGACGTAGCAATTATAAGCAGTGTGCAAGACGGTTTAGGTTGTAGGGCTATACATTGTATTCTCGATACCCCGTGCGTGAAGATTGGGCTTCAGAATCTAGCCACCTATGCTGCACAATTTCAAGGTCTGCACCTGTAACATTCTGTTTGTCTCAATCCGAGAGTAAACCTCAAACCTGCACTAACCGACGGAAGCCGGATTCAGAACTAATCGGAATTCAGAGCCCAATTTGCCCTACCGAACAAGTCCCCCAAAACCCGAACTTGTCAACCGCAAGCCCCCACCAGGTCCTTAAAGAGGTAGGTTATTTGGGAGTCTCCAAAATCAGGGGTACCTTAGTCTAGCGTTTTTATAATAAGGATCCTTCCCCTATTTTGGGAAGCTCCCGTTTGGCGTTAAGCCTAACCCGGTGGGTTCAAACTCTATAACCCTGAACCCCTAAACCCTAGACCCTATAAACCCAAAGCCACCACAGTCGAAGGCGCCGTCACGCTGGTCGCCCCCCAAGCCGCTCACGCGGAGGTTCGCCACGGATGGGTATGTGCTGGGGCTTGGGTTTAGGGCTTATATATAGTATGAGGTAAGTCCACAAAGCATACCTACTTTGGTGTCTAAAGCCTTTGAATCAATTTGTGCGTCCCCTCATGTCTGAAACTCACATCGGAGTATTCTTGTTGTTTTCAGTTTCGTGCTTTCATGTAGAGACATTCTATCTTCCTAGATGACCTATCGCACCGTGAAATCCGTAGAACACTGCGAATCACCGAGTCGTGTAGCCAAGAGTGATACACTTTTATGACCGCATACGATATGATGATGGTCCAGCACAGTCTTCGAGGTTGATAGCATCGGGGTCGAAGGATCAAGACTGCCCTTTGCAGCCTATAGTTCCAGCACAATGTACCCCGAACACCATGATGTTGCAGCCAAGCCTATTGCGTAATGTCTGGACAGGTGAGGTGAGCTTTAGTTTTTTTGGGCATGCTTGTTCCCACCATGACCGCAGGATCGAAGGGTGTACTGTTTCGGTCGGAGAGCTCAAGGATTAAGGCTATAGGGCTCTGATCTCGGTGCCACAGACTTGAGCTTGAAGCACTAGCTACAGTCCTCTTTGCCATCGTATTCGCATAGAACAGCAGCAGCAAGCACAGTGTCGTCGAAGCTGTGTCTGTGGCAAAAACCCTTCATTATACGTAACCCTCAATCAACACTCGACTGGGTTTGGTTAATGGATTTCGTTCAAGTTACCATAATAAGAAGCCGTTTTTTGCTACACATCGTATGATTGTAAGCTAAATTAGATTCCTTAACAAGAACCTTGTCCAAGTCCTAACAGTCCACAATACCCAAAGCCATACATCCCAAATCCCGAAGAGCCTTTAACCCCAAACCCTCTGGCTGTAGCACCGCCGCTTGTTTGATCCCTTAAGCCTGAAGCTTACAAACCCTAAACCGCAACCCTCAAGACTTGAGACTCTTCACCACCCAAGAACTCGAAACCCTAAAAGCCTATCGTTGAAGCCTAAAACCCCAAACCTTTTGAACGAATTAGAAGCTTAAATCCCTAAACCCTGAACCCTAAACCCTAAATCCCCAAACCCTGTGACAGGCGGCCCCAACACTCCTTACAGTTCCCTTATAGTTCTTACAGGAACCCCTGCAGGAACCCTAAATCCCCAAACCCTGTGACAGGCGGCCCCAACACTCCTTACAGTTCCCTTATAGTCCTTACAGGAACCCCTGCAGGAACCCTAAATCCCCAAACCCCTTTTGAAAGGATGGCGCCGTATGGATCCCAGCGCTCTCGGCCATCGGCGCCGGTTTCGCCATCGGCCTCGCGGCTATCGGCTCCGGCGTGGGCCAGGCAGGCCGTGGTTCGGGGTGATATCTTTAAAGGGTACCTTTAAATCAGGCTTTCCTCTAAAGGGCTCTATTGGGTTTAGGGCTTCCGAAAATAGGGGACCCTAATAACTACAGTACCCTAAATAGTAGGATCCTTATTATAATAATAGTAGGATCCTTATGTTTGGTTAATGTAGGAACCTGATGAAGCAACCTTGGTTTTTTTTTTTTATGAGGGTTCCTGATATGAATCCTACTATTTTGGGGTTATAGGCCCACGGTTTCTTAATCAGGTTCCTACGTTACGGTTTTGGGTTCTTCAGGGTATATACGGTTAGGGCTTGGGGTCTAGAGAATGTTTAGGGTTAGGATTCCTTTATAGCGATATAAGAGTCGATATAAGAGTACTATAAGGGTTCTTGTAAAGGGCTCTTTCAGGGTTTAGGGCTTCCGAAAATGATAGGAACTTAATATAGTAGCCTAAGTAGTAGGATCCTGATTATAAGACGAGTAGGACCCTGAATAATAGGATCCCCAAACAAAGTACCCCCGACTTTCAGAAACTCCCACATAGAGGGCCATGGATAAGAAGGGGCTTCTGTAAGGTTTTTTAGAGGGTAATACGTGGGGCCTTGGTGTAGGGCTTAGGGCTGCATAAGTACCCTAAGGGTCCACATATACTGCCATTATGGAATTTTGGTCCGAAAAGACCATCTCTGCTAGGATGCCCAGTAGTACCCTTATTCCCTTTTTGTAGTCCTAGGTTCCTTATAAAGTTACCCAATACTAAAAAGAGCGGTCTTTTTATCTTTGGTTACTGGGTATCCTAGTCTATTATGGCTTTGGAGACCTAATTCCATAATGGTAGTATATGTGGACCTTTGGGGTAGAGTAGGGTTTCTGTACGGGTTCCTCAAGGCGGCATTTGGGAGTTTCCGAAAACTAGGGGTACCTTACTTGGAGTCCTTATAATAAGGATCCTACTATTTAAGGTACTATATTTTCGGAAACTCCCATTTTGAGGGTTATTATGAGGTTTTGGTACAGGCACTGCTGTGCTACCGGTTGAAGTTTTGGGCGCTTCATGGTTCAGGGCAGGAAATTTGGTGCACTAGTAGTTTCTGGAGTCAGGGAGGCAGCGCAAGATGACGAGTTGATGGAAGAACAAGTGGGCGTGCCTAGACCCTGCTGCTTTTGTTGCTAGGTCAAATAATTTCGAACAAAAGCAAGGCCTTTCTGAAGTTTGGGTACAGGGTTTCGTCATCTTCTGTGTGTCCCAGAAAGTTGCACTGCCTTTTGCCCTAAACTCTAAATCCTGATGTCTGAACCCTAAACCCCTGAACCCCTAAACCCCTAAACCCTCAAATGTAGACCTAAAACTGAAAACCAAATCCTAGTCCGACTGCTGCCAAAGGGCATCGCCAGCGGGCGCTGCATCGATGGCATCTCTCGTCAGCCTGAGGCCGCTCAGCAGGGACTCCCCTGTTGTCCTTTGTTATGGTCCCCTAATAAAGAATAGACAGATCGGTTAAGGTACCTTCTTTAAGGGCTTCTTATTAAGGGACTAGGGTAAAGGGCCCTGTCTATTTCCCTAAAAAGTACAAGGCCGTCAGGGACCCCATCCTGAAGCTTACTTGGAAGGGCAGGGGACTTAGTAAGTAGGTTATAAGTAGGGTTATAATTGGGGTAACTTCAGTTAGGGTACTTATAACTCTACTTATAACCTACTTACTAAGTCCCCACCCTGAAGCTCAGGGCTTGAGGCTTTGGGGTTTAGGGCTTGGGGGACTCGATGCCCCTCTCCAAAACCCCAGCAGTCTGGCTTAGGGTATTGTGCATATTATATGTACGTATGTGTACATATATATATATACACATATATATATGTATATATATATATACACAGATTATATATACATAGAGCTTTAGTGAATCTCATGCCTGTGGGACGATGGAATCCGTTCAGGAGCCTCAGTCGATCCTCGTCCTATCTTACCGTTCGACAGACGACTATGTGCTTTATTGGTACGACGTATGCCAACACATGCTTCTCCGGGGTCAGGGTTTACAGTAGGGTTTTAGGGTTTAAGGTGTTAGGGTTCAGGGTTTAAGGTTTAGGGGTTTAGCTGTTTAGGGTTTAGCTGTTTAGGGTTCACGGTACTACTAGTAGGCGGGTTTGACTTTTTCAGGATTGGGTTGAGGTGGTCACACGGAGGTAAAGTCCTTTGAGACGCCGCAGGTTGCAGATGACCTCCGGGGTGTGCTGACCCTTGGCGCGGTTTCCGAAATCTAGATCGAAACTCGAGCACTTCGTCGTTTTTTGTGCAGTCCAGTATTCAAGCCGTGCGTGCTGAAGCGATACTTTGAATAAAGGTCTTCCCATCGGGTTGTTGAGGCTTAGGCAGGAGTCTCTGGCATTCTCCTCTCGCTCCATCGAGCATGGTAATAATCATGTGTAAATTTGCATATGTTTGCAGGAAGTAACCTTCTTTAACTGCCTTGGGGTCAAAGCTATTCGGTTGTTGGGCTCTTTGGAAGCTGGGATATTCTGCCTTGTTATGCACACGTGTCGTTAGCCAGTCGTTTAACAACAGACCGACAGCCTCCAGCCGAACAGCTACAGTGCCAATGTGGAAAGTCGAATCAGCCGCCTTTTCGACGGTTTGAACACTTTTTGTGGTTTTGCAGGTGGGTATTTCTAGGGTGCCACACCTCGAAACCCTCAAACCTCCGGCCTTGAACCCTAAACCGTGCACCCACAAGCCTAAGTGCACAATGCGCCTGATCCTTAGCCAGACATCCGTATAGTGACCTTCTTCTGTAATCGTTATAGTAGTCCTGAAAACAATAGTTTTCTTCATTATACTGTTGATGGTTTAAGTTCAGCATTATGTTATGGACCCTAAACTACGGGAAGTATGGTGTGTTCCTCATTATGGGTAATGCAGGATTTCTATCATCACCGTAGTTAGCCCAGGCTGCTCTCCCTGGCCTTCATGGAGTCCTTGACCATCTACGGTCTCGTGATTGCCCTGGCGCCGACCCCAGTGAACAGTCCCTGGTAGGCCAAGACGTAGGCCAGAAGGATACAGGATGGGTTTAGGGTTTAGGATGCAGAATTTAGGATATAGACCCAAACCTAACGACTTTTGTTCTAGAGGGTCATCGTGAGCTGCCGTGCAAGACGCAAGACGTCCACATTCATGTCGCTAGCAGCATGTGGCTAGGTAATCTGAGCATAGGTAGCTAAAAAGATGTGATGATATGACAAGCATGATGTTGATGACGATGGCGTTCATTCGCCTGCCGATGCGGCAATCGTCGACGATGCTGCCGTGATGCCGGCCATGGCACTGGTGACGATCATCAGAAGAAGGCGAAGGCGGCAGACAGAACTCACCTCACTGAATCCCGCCGGTACGTCTATTGGGCCGGTTCTGCGGAAGTTGCAGCACCCTAAACCCTAAACCAAAAGCCAGTCCACGACCCCAGTCATCACCATGTCTAAGTCCGTCCAGTCAGGGCCTGAAGCATAGTACCTGCACCTAAGCAGTAATAACAAAGCAAGGAAAACAAGCCGAATAGTGTTAATACTACCGAAAGTAGTAGTCGTAGTACTGTAGTACTAGTAGTAGCAGTAGTAGTAGTAGTAGTAGTAGTAGTAGTAGTAGTAGTAGTAGTAGTAGTAGTAGTAGTAGTAGTAGTAGTAGTAGTAGTACCAGTAGTAGTAGTAGTAGTAGTAGTAGTAGTAGTAGTAGTAGTAGTAGTAGTAGTAGTAGTAGTAGTAGTAGTAGTAGTAATAGTAATAGTAGTAGTAGTGTAGTAGTAGTAGTAGTAGTAGTAGTAGTAGTAGTAGTAGTAGTCGTGGTGGTAGTGGTGGTGGTGGTGGTGGTGGTAGTAAAAGCAGCTGCCAAAAAATATTCCCTAGGGCTTTCCTTAGGGCTCTCCATTGCAAACATATTCTTGTATACCGCCAAACCCAATTCCCTGCCATATGCGGTGCATGGGCAGTTTCATGTAGTACTAGTGCATCAGTTACAGCTCCAGTTACTGTAACTACATTCCATGCTTCCTATAGCACTCATAAAGCTTGCAAAGCTTCTTCGTCCACACAGAGCCCTATGACAGGTTTTCGATGGGCCCTGCACAGAGGAACCTTAACAACACCCCTAGACAGACCACGCTGACTGACCGCGACCTGACCCGCTTGCTGTGTGGGCTTTGTACTGGTTTCTTAGGGTTTACGTTTTAAGGTTTTAGAGTTCGGGTTTGCTCAAGGTCTGGCCTGGTGTTTGGGATTTTGGTAGTTTGAGCTGATGACGTCCTCTATAAACCAACTCTCCACCCTCCTAAACCCTGAACCCCCTAAACGGCCCCTTCCTTCAGGTCCTCCTCTTCGCGAACCCACTGATCAAGTGAGCACTCTAACTGTCAGCCATCTCGACATCCGAGATGTTTTTCTCTCTTAGAAGGTGCAAATTCAGATGCACCTACTGAAAGCAAGAGGAGCTAGCTCTCAGAAAAGACACAGGTTCGACTTGTAGTTTGGGGCAGTGGACCTGGATGCAAGCTATCGGAGCTTTGGATGTGGCGTCAACGAGTCTTGTCATTTACAGTCCTAGTGGACCGACCCACTATTCACTACTGTACTTGCTGCTGCAAAGTTGCTATTATCACTCTAAGCACTACCCGCATGCAGACACATCAGACAGCAAGCATCCAGTAACCTAAACTTGGAGCCGGACCCCTATGCAGTGATAATCAGTAACATGATTTCTCAGAACAGAAGGGGACGGTGATGAAGCCCCCAGTATCCTGAACCCCTCAAGGCTAGGTCTTAAACGGCAAACCCTATACCCTCAACCCTAAACGCTGGACTATACACCCCAAACCCACTGAGTCTTCATTTCGGGCTGATGTGTCCTTCACTGCTGTCCTAAAAAACATGAGAGGTTTCTGGAAACAAAGGGCTCCTTGACGGGTTCCTCGGTTGGGCTCCTTGACGGGTTCCTCGGTTGGACCTTATCCTTACAACGTTAAGCATGAAGGTCCATGCTTGATGGTATGGATCTGAATCTGTAACCTTCCCAACATTCCATTTCAGAAGCCGGATTTCTCCTCCGTCGCATCTGCGCCTCAGAAGCTTCAGACGCTTCTTGCAGCCCAGTCCAACAAGCGCCACCGGGAACCTAAAGTAGCCAAGGCCCTACAGGGGACTCCAGAAAGTTGGAATATGGATTAATGGTAGGATCCCCTATAATTTACCTTAAAGGGTTACGATAATGATATTCCAACTTTCTGGCTTCTACCTTAAACCCCTAAACCCAAACCCTTTGACCCCCCTATAACTACCCAAGAACCTCCTACTAGGCCCTTAACCCTATACCCTTATAGAATACCTATAGGCACCGCTTTTAACAGAAGCACTGCACTCCCAAAGCCCAACCTTGAGCTCCCTGGGGCTCTGGAGCGCCAAGCTCTAATCGAATCCCGACAAGTCATCTTTGTCATAGTTGGGTAACATTTTACGTTTTTATGGGTACTTAAACCCAATAAGGAATAACAGTTGGATTTCTAATCCTATCCCAACCATGTGCTAGTCATGTACATGTCTGCCTGCTCCCTGGCGTCATGATGATGCGGCAGCATGGCTGAGGAGTCCAGTGCTCAGCACTGCATCACAGATTCCAAGATTTCAGCTTGGAGGATGTCGTTGCAACGTTTTTGCTGCGCAGGTGCTTGAGATATGTCCGCCTCTTCGAGCTTAGCAGTTTAGGGCTTAATTGGGGTTGTTAGGGCTAGGTTCGGCTAGATTTTATATATATATATATAGATATATATATATATATATATAGATAGAGAGAGAGAGAGAGAGAGAGAGAGAGAGAGAGAGAGAGACAGACAGACAGACAGACAGACAGACAGACAGACAGACAGACAGACAGACAGACAGACAGACAGACAGACAGACAGACAGACAGACAGACAGACAGACAACAGACAGACAGACAGACAGACAGACAGACAGACAGACAGACAGACAGACAGACAGACAGACAGACAGACAGACAGACAGACAGACAGACAGACAGAGGGGGAGGGAGGTAACACGTGCATTAGTTACACTAGTCCAAGTGCTCACGCGGCTGGTTGTTCTAAGTGATTATCGCTTTTGCCTTCTCCGGATCCTGATCAGCAAAACTCCGAGCACACTTCATGGAAGAACAAAAGCCAAAGAACAACATTGAATGCTAATCCCTGTGTCCGGGAGGCCAATTTCAACAAAGCCTGCACCTGAAACCTAAAACCCCCGAGACGTAAACCACAAAAGCCCGAAGCCCTAAACAAACTATAATCCCTGAAACCTAGAAACGCCTTACAGGGAACTCCAGAAAGTTGGAATATGGTTTCTTGGTAGGATACCCTATAATTTACCATAGAAGGGTTTGGGATAATCATATTCCAACTTTCTGGCTTTTACCTTAGAGCTTGAAGCTGACTGGCACACACAGAAGCACCGAGGATCCCGGGATCCACGGCGGCTTTAGTCCGGCTGGTGGACAGGAGCCTTCTGCCACTGAGCTTGCTCGGAACGATTTGGCGTTTGGGTTTTCTGAAGACCCAGAGACTCCAAAACCCCTTAATTAAGGAATATACCTTAAATTATAATAGGGAGTCTATTAAATTAAAATTTAAGTTATATTCCTTAATTAAGGGGTTTTGGAGTCTCTGGGGACTTGAGGATCCACCATGCACCTGGGTTAATTATATAACCGCCAGTCATGAGTGTTGGAACGCCCAAAACAACCGTAAGCTCCCAACCGTGAAGCCCTGACGGCCTAAATGTTGAAAAACCTTGCCCTCACACCTTCGGCTTTCAAAACTCGCCAAATCGAACCACGTTCCGACATCCAGAGATCTCGCAGGATTGCCCGACTGTCCCGACATGATGAAGCACCTTTGGCCGCACTTTCCTAGAGGCTCCATATGTAGTAGCATTATGGAACTAGGTCCCTAAAGCCCTGATGAGGATTGTCTTTTGGGGCTTATTTCCATAATGGCACTATATATGGAGCCTTAGGGTTTTTCAGAGCTTTATGGAGCTGCTGTAGTTGTTTATGCCCTTGCCCTCTGCCGGGAGGGAAGTCCATTAATGTAAGTTAAGCTCTCGGCTCTCTACAGAGTTTTCGAGAGGGTGAACAAAGCTGCAGTTTTGCCTTGTCAGAGGTCTCGGCTGTCTTGCCGACGATGGATGTCGAACAGCTGCAGCATCGTGCTACGGAGGTCAATGCCTGATTCGAGTTGGCTTTGCTTACCTTTGGTTAGTAGGGAATGGAGGAATGGGGTATAATTATAACTACTATTAATACCATTCTTCCATTCCCTACTAACCAAAGGTAAGTTTGGGGCCCAAGCGGCATAGAAGATGTTTCTCGTCGCGGGAACTAAGGGGCTGGAAGATATTAGGGGTTTCGAGTTTGTTCCGAGGGTTTAGGGTATCAAGCCTCAGCATTTGGATTTGAGTGGTTGCACTCAACGTAGCTACGGGCGCAAGGAAAGTTGAACCAGGTTGCGTTGGGTTCTTAACTCTGTAAACAAACTCTTGCGATGCTGAAACCCTAAACCGCAAAAGCCCGCAAGCCCTAAACCCTAGGGCGTAGGGGTTTTTGGGGTTTTGGGTTTAGGTTTCAGGGTTCGGTTTAGGGTTTGGGATGTAGGCCTTTTGGGGTTGAGGGTTTAGCATTCAAGGATGGCCTTTTTGTTTCATAGTATCCTAGGGTGCACTTGGGGGCCTATTGTGGTCTCATGGTGTCTTACAGGGTTTCTTGGAATCTTATGAGTTCGTCTGGGTGTGTTGCATAGGGATTCATAGCTCGTCGTTTATGCGGGCTTCATGGGGCTTATTCTCAGGTTTGATTTCGAGGGCTTCGGTGTTGACATGACTGCGAGACGGGGGACACCATCGTCGCCGACTGCTGGTGGACGGGGCTCATCTCGTGGATGATAGGCTACGTTACAGATCAAACGCCTGCGATGCGACCGGCTCACCGTGCAACTGTGTAAGCCGCAGGTACTACGTACAGGCAACTGAACATGCTTTTGCCACCGACTATCAGTTGATCACCCGTGTTGACGATGTGTACTTGGAGGTTCATGGGTAGTTATAAGTAGGGTTACAGGTCCTCTAACCCCATATAATAAAAATAGGTACCCTACTTATAACCCAACTTCAAACTACCCATGAACCTCCAAGTAGTGTGCGTGCTCCAGGGTCTGTGCCCCTGGGAGACACTTCCTTGGAGCTCGCACAGCCGGAAAATCTGCCCTTTCGCGGCAGATTGCCAACTTGCGGCCGCATTGACATCCCTAAACTCTATAAATCCGAAAACCCTAAACCCTAAGCCCAAAACCCTCAAACCATGAATTGAGGGCTCGAACGGTTTGGTTGAGGGCCCCCGCGTAAAGCTAGGCCTGGTCGCTGCTTGCATTGCAACTCCGGACACAGTCGCCAACAAGTCCTTAAGGAGCTCCTCAGCATAGACGTACTTATCCCTAGTAGTAGAGTAGGGAACCTTTAACCTTTTTTGGGTAGGTCCCTATATTATAACTGACAAGGTTAACCTTTAGTCCCCCGTGACACCCGACAGGTAGGTGTCCTCCTCCAGGCTTTCGTACTTGTTGGGGGAGTTTCGGCTTGAGGGTTTGAGACATTCAGGACACTGAACCACCCGCTCGTACAAAAAGTAAACCAGCCCGACTTGGCCGAAGTGGTTACTGAGATCCCTGACCATGCCCTTGCAAGAGAACCCTCGCCTTATACACCTTCTTGCACCCTATTCGAGCCTTAGGGCCTTTATTGCTGCGATTTTTTCAGACAGGCCAGCAGAATTGGAATCCACGAGGTAAGTTTAGGGTGTATTACTAGTATGAACGCAATGAGGAACCCCAAGCAACAGTAGTGCGATTCAGTCAGGCTGCTACATTAATCAGCCCTCAACCCTCTAACCCGATACCCGAAGCCCTCAAAATTCTAATCAACAAGCTTCCAGCCTTAAGCCACAAGCCGTAAATCGCCGCAAATGTCACAGCTATCCAAGAGCTTAAACCTTAACCTACTCGCTGTAGGTTCAAATTTTTCACCGCACCTTCATATGGAGTTCATAGGGACCCTGCTCAAATTGGTCAATCTAGACTCCTATAAGCCCCAAAACCACAGGCAGCGCAGACCCTTGCGCTGTGCATCGAGCACGAGAGCATGGCAGCACACAGGACCTACTGAGCTGGTAACTGCCTGGTAACTACTGTTTCAAGGTTTAGTGTTGCAGGGCCCGAACCCCAAATCCGAATCCTTACAGCCTACATATCTAGTTCCGCGGTAGTACCCTTTTGCCCTTTATTGTTGGAGGGTTCCAGGGAGT